TTTCTTTCTTTCTTTCTTTCTTTCTTTCTTTCTTTCTTTCTTTCTTTCTTTCTTTCTTTCTTTCTTTCTTTCTTCTCATGATCGACATCTCCCTTGCTACTGCCTGGAGTGTGATCCCAGATGTCAGAGCAGAAGTCGCTTTCCGTGGCTGCATGTCAGGAGCTAACAATACAAGGCTTTGATCTGGAGGCAGGCGGGAGGCTGCTGGCAGACGTCTGCCCCGATTCCCGGCCGACATGCATTTGAATCACACCTGCCTCCAGCTTGCTCCTGTAAGGGAAGGAAGGACCCCCCACCCTCGATGGAGAGGGGAGCCTTTGGCTTTGCTCCCAGGTGGTGTGACTCATTTCTGGTCCCCAAAGAACGGGGAATTGTTTTTCCACTGGGTTGCCCCTTTGTCCCTGAGCTGTGTGGCACTGTGTTATCTGGCTGGAAAAGCTGCCTGTGCTGATTGCTTGGCACAGACGGTGCCTTCTCTCCCCTGTCTGCCGTTAGCATCCAGGGCCAGGCCTTTTTTCGTGGGTGATCCCTGTCAAGAGGAGCAATCCGGGGAGGTCCAGATAGGAAGGCAAGGGCTAAACGCGGCGTTGCAAAGTGTGGGTTGCGATTGTCTGCCCCAAGCCCTGGACCTAAAGCGGGTTCTCTACGGAGAAGGGCCTGCGATTCCCAGCGGTTTATCCCTGATGTCTCGCCATGGGGTGGATCTCTCCAGTCACTGGCACGTCTCTCTCAAAGCAAGGTTTTTATTATCCATGCAAAAGGGTCTTGGATGTGGTTGGTTTCTTCATATGAAGCGCGCCCGTGGTTTGCTTCTTGCCCTCTTCATCAGTGCTAAGAAAGAACATGGTGGCTTCAGTCTTTGCTTGTGTTCTCTCACGGGTTCGGCCCTTGCTTGCTTCTGGTCTGGAACCTGCCCCAGTTATGCCGTCTCTGCAGTGAAGTGAGGGATGTGTGGATCGGCAGGTCAAAGACCAGATGTTGCTGTCTTGGGAACCTTTCGTCTGTCTGTGTGTGCTTGGAGATGCCAAATGGCTGGTTATTGTCGTGCCGGGGGAGGCTCGGGGAAGGCGAGGAGATGAAGCAGCTGCCAGCATTAGGGAAGGATAATAGCAAGCATTGGGCCCTCGTGAGGAGTGGGCTCAAGTGGCCCTGGGTGGCACCTCCCTGATTCAGACATTAATATTCTGCTGTTTATTTCTGGATTGCCAGAGGCACAGCTGGTGACAGTGGAGAGGAGGGAAAAGGGAATCGAAAGGGGTCACGGGTGGCAGACGGATGTGAAAGAAGCAGCCGGATGAGAAATATGGACCAGGGCATGTGAGAGACGCCCCACTAGGAGACAGAAAGTTTGGGTAGGAGGAAGGAGAAGAAGAATGGGCTGTGGATGATGGACGTTACGGAAAAAGAGGAGGAGGGGGGCCGCTGCAGAAGGTGGCTGAGCAAAATAGTAGGCGTCCTTGCTGGGGGTGATGGCTGGGATTTTCCAGGAATCCCAGAGGGTACCCAGTGAGGGAAAGATGCGGAAACGCTCTCTGAAGAGCAAAGAGGTGTGGTACTGAATCGAGGTTTAGGGGTGCTATGTTATGAGAACGTTTGAGAGGGGCTCCGTAGCAGTGGGTCAGCCATGAAGCCTGGGCAGTCTTCGGTCTATGGATTATAGACAGTGCTTCCTTGGTAACCTATTTGGGTCTGGGTCCAGGTTGGTTGCTCTTAGTTGATCTCTCCTCTGGAAGGGAGGGGAGAAGATGTTGATACCGCAGGCCCATAGCGTGGGTGATGGGTCTTCCCAGTCTCATTTGACGCAATACTTTTTTCTTCAAAACTGAGATGCTCAGGAGCAAAGCATTCCTTTGAGTTCCTCCCTGCTTTCTTCCTACCGTGTTTCTGCAATTTCTGTCTCCTCATTTAATATACGTGTTGTAGTCAGTGACTGTGAATGGTATGAATGAGGGAGCTCCGAAGAGTGGAATAACTCTTGGTATTCTCTTTTAAGTAAGAGATTTGCTGGCCTTGAATAAAAAGTGACCCACACAATCGTGTCAGATGCTGAATTGGGCTGGGGGCCATAGCAGTTTTTACATCTTCCTGATGTCTCTGGAGTGTGAATCTTTAGGTGGTTCAGGACCTGGGAATTGAGGCAATTTTTGGAAGCATCAGGAAGAAGATAAACTTTGGTGGAACCTTTTACATGTAGAAAGGGTGGAGCATCGTTTATTGACTGGACTTGGACAATGGTGGTAAAATGGGGTTGGGTAACTTGTGATTCAGCATGATGTGATAACCCAGCTACTGCCTTAGCGTGTTGGATCAAACAGGCCACCAGATTGAGCCAGCACATGATTTAATGTTGAGGAACGTATCAAGTAATGTGAAGACAGCTGTTTTGTAACCCTTCGGTAAAGTTTAGCTGTTGTGTGAACTCAGCCGGATTGGCCTTTCTGCTGAATGAGAAGTTCCAAGCCCTGCCTTTCTCCTGGAGCTTAGCCATCTCTTATCTTAGTGGTTCCATTTGTTTATACGTTTGTTAGATGCATATCCCACCTTTCATTCAGGAGCTCAAGGTGACGGACACCACTTTCTCCTCTTCCCGTTTTATCCACAATAACAATCCTGTGAGATAGGTTGGGCTGAGAGAAGGGGACTGGGCCAAAGTCCCCCAGGGAGCTTCTGTGGCTGGAGGGGGGACTAGAACCTGGGTCTCCCCACTTCTAGTCCAGCATCTTCCCCACGACACATCCTGGTTCTGGGGCTGAGAGGGAGGGACTGGTCCAAAGTCCCCCACGGTGCTTCTGTAACTGAGGAGAGGCTAAAACCTGCGTGTCCTGAATCTTGCTTCAACACTTCCACCATCCTGGCTCTCATTTCTGTATTGATCATTGCTAACTTTAGACTAAAATTGGCTCTGAAACCATGCATTGGCCGAAACACACACTCACACACACACACACAGATACGTCTGCACCCAGTCATCTGTTACATGCATCCAGTTTAGGGAAATTGCTGATGGATTGAGTCTATCAGCTGAGGCAACTACAAGATTTTAGCCCCCATCCCTAAATTATGGGATAAGGCAAAACAGCAACAACAACGACGTCACATTCCAACAGCACAAATCAACTGAGTGTTGATTTGCAAGCGTAACAGCTGATTTAGCTCAGCCACAAAGAAGGGGAATGCAATTTCCTTGTTTTATATTAGGGTTTCACATAAATCATTTCACAACTGACCGCAAAATAGAAACTTTCAATGTGACAGAAGGGAAGTACACAGGCATGGCATTCACACGGCATGACTCCCCAGTTGTGCTACAAACCTTGTGGCTGTATTTGCCCAACCCACTGAAACTGGCTGGCTTTAATGTGGATTGGTCTGGAGGGGGTCGAATGGGTTGCAGGAACTCAGCTCAGCTGGTTAGTGTAGAATTTAGTGTATTGTGTGAACTCAGGAAATCATTAATCTATTAGCTAGGGTGAGCGTGTGGCGCAAATACAGGCATAAAGAAACATAAAAAGCATATGTAATTAATTAGATGTAATTAGATGGGAATGCAACTTAAATATAACTTGTATTAACTCAGATTTAATTTTTGTCCTTTCTTTGTTCTGGATTCAACTTCTTTTCCAGCATGGACAAGGACTCAATGATCGTAAAAAAAGCCATGGGTGGGGTTGCACAGTTCTATTTCCTTTCTGGGCTTTGTGGTGACAGAGGAGCCCCTGTCTGAATGTACATTTCTCCCCCCTCGCCTTTACAGTCCAGGAAACTAGGGAGGGTCCCTTCTGAGACATTTGCCACGCCCCCATTCCTGCTGAAGGCTCAGCTGCCTCTTCTCTGACTGTTGCCTAGTCTGTGGCTCTTCCTTCTGTCTCCCAAGGTCATTCCCACATCCCATTACGTGCTGGAACAAATGCTTTGGGTCTTCAATCCCTCCCACCCCCCTGCAGATGCTGCCATGTGTCAGGCCACTTCGTTGCATGCAACCCCTCCCTCTCCAGTTTTCATCTGCAATTTAATTGTTTTCTTACAGTTATCCACAGCCTGCCTTTCAGGATCATCCCAAAGGGGCTTTGCTTAAACTGTTAAGCAAAACAGGTTAAGCTAGATTCGGGGTGACACCACGGACAAGTCCACGAAAGTTCTTGGCAACAATAGGAAAGAGGTTTTATCATGGCTTTCTTCTAGGATGTTCTTCCTTTTTTAATGTTTGCCTTCCCAGGCTCACCCACCCCCCATGGATCTCCTAGTGGTCTCCCATCCAAGTACTTACTTATCAGCTTATCAAGCCTGTCTCTGCTTAGCTGCTGAACCCAAATCCAGTGGGCCAGGTGGTGAGGCTAATAAAGGGGTTTACAATCAATGAAAACAATTGTAAGCAAAGATGCAGTAAA